GGATGGAGAGTTGAGCGAAAAACCCTAAAGCCCTAAAGCCCTAAAGCCCTAAAGCCCTAAAGCCCTAAAGCCCTAAAACCCTAAAACCCTAAACCCCTAAAACCCTAAAACCCTAAAACCCTAAAACCCTAAAACCCTAAAACCCTAAAACCCTAAAACCCCAAAACCCTAAACCCCTAAACCCCTAAACCCCAAGCCCTAAACCCCCTAAGCGCACACCGGAAGGCCCAACATCGTCCTAAACTTTGAAACCCACAAACCTTAACTTGGTAGCCCAGTAGCCATATAATAATCAGGGTACCCGCTGTAGGGGTTGGCTACTTTATAAGGGAACCCTAAATCCTAAACCCTAAACCCTAAACCCTAAACCCTAAACCCTAAACCCTAAGCCCTAGAACCAATTTCAGGGCAAAAGGGAACACTGGGCTACCACGTTAAGCAAAATTCGGGAGTTAAGGGCTCGGAGGCTTGAACACAGACATCCTTCAGCCCAAGCCCGAAACCCTAAACCCTGAACCCGAAACCTTGTGTCACGACCGAACGCCAGTCTTCGCACCTCCAAGCTCGCTTCATCTGCCGTGTTCCGCTTCTCCATGTACTGCGCAGTACAGTTCACACAGACAGACATTCCTTTGGAACTTCTCCCCAGACGTCTGAGAGGATCCAAAAAGTGGATCGATCCCCTTAAGGGTTCTTAAAAATGAGCCGATACTAGTATAGGGTATTATTATTTGGGGGCTCTACTTTTTGGATCCTCCCCGGCGTCTGAGTCTTGGTTGGGCTTGATGGTACGCAAGACAGGACGGAATAAGGCTGTCAGAAGGGCATGCTGTGCAGTTTGGGACTTGCAGGTCGAAACTAAACTAAGGTTCGTACAGGAAAACCTAAGCCTAAGCCCTATAAACCCTACACCCGAAAACCCCCAAACCCCAAAACCCTAAAGTCTAAACTCTAACAAGCAGTGGTGTGATCAAAGTCAAGCCAAGAAGCAGCGCTGTGGCGGTAGCCGACGGATTTGGGCTGCTTCTTTTTGTAGCCCTCCTTCCTTGGGAAGGAAGGTTCAGGGCATGACCCTTATTAAAAGCCATCGGAAGAGTGACACGTCATCTGTGAGTCGTGCGTTGCCAGCAGCTCTTATAGTAGCCTGATCATACCTTCAGCGCGCAACATCTGGAGCCTCAAAAAGCCCGCAATTCCTAAGGGGGCTTCGTGTTTTGAGGCAGGCGCTGGCGCACGCTACCTAGCATTCCTCCCGCATGGAGCCCAAATGATTCTCGGTCGAGTTCTTCATAGGGAAGTACCTAAGTACGCAGGCACCTTTAAAGGATTATGTATGACGTATTTATTTGTATATAAGCTCCCTTATATACCCAAATAAGGAAAATGTAAAACATCCTGAAAGCCAACCTAGAGCAAGCAACAGATTCCCAGCCCAGGAGCGGATCTATCTTGGCCAACTTCGCAAAGAGGGGGTCCGCGCGAGCAATGTCCCACATCACACTCTTTGGAGTGTGGATGGTCACGCCCCACTTGCCTTGCGAACCTAAACCCTAAACCCTGAACCCTAAACCCAAAACCCTGGACCCTATAAACCCTAAATCCTAAACCCTAGCCCTAAACCCCAGTCATGTGGCCAGGCAAGGCAAGGCAGCTTGGCTTCAGGAACTCAACTTTCGAGGCGCGGCTAAAAGCTTCTACCTTCTATCTAAACCCTGCTTCCTAAACCCTAAGTTTTGTAGGGTTTTGGGTTCAACCAAACTCTAAACTCTTAGAAGTACGTCTTCCTTCACGGGGCTCGAAAACCGTAAGCCCTAAGCCCTAAACCCTGAACCCTGAACCCTAAACCCTAAACCCTAAACCCGAAACCCTAAACCCTAAACCCCAAACCCCAAACCCAAGCGAACCCGAGGTGCCCATGACCCATGCGCAGTACGGCATCGTTACGAAGAACACCGTGTCATCCAGCTCTTTCGTCCTGTAACCAGGAGTAGGGTTTAGGGTTTAGGGTTTAGGGTTTAGGGTTTAGGGTTTAGGGTTTAGGGTTTAGGGTTTACCCTACTTCTGAGGGCGTGCTTGTTCTTGTGCTTGCCACTCTTCTTGTGTTGCGAGCCTCGACCGAGAACTTCTTCGCGCAGCGACGGTCGCTGAGCTTCATGGCTTCGGTCCCTAAACCCTAAACCCTAAACCCTAAACCCTAAACCCGAAACCCGAAACCCGAAACCCTAAACCCTAAACCCTAAACCCTAATCGGGAACTTGCCGTCATTGTCGTCGCTGTCGGCCTGCGGATCTCCGTCGAGGGTGCCCGTGGCTCACAGACTCTCGAGTGCACCGAACAGCTCTTCGGCATGCTGCTGGCCTGTCTTCTGTTTTGTTTCAAACTTGGCACCGGCATTGGTGGCCGGCGGCGCCTCTGCGGCCCTCTTGACCGACGTGCGCGTAAGACACTCCACAAGAATACTTGAGCACTTGCCCGGCCTTCGGCCCATCCTCCAAGCAGGACGTGCGCCGTCTTTGGTCGATCTTCTTAATGGTTCCGGTTTTCTGCTCAGGGTCGGGTTTGGTTTTTTGGATGATGTCTGAACTTTGTCACGCTACTGGCCGCGTAACCCTGGGTGCTGTTGACTGACTCAGCAATGGTGCTTTTGCAGCTCCGACGTTGACTAATGCACCTAACTACCGGTCCTTCCCCCATGAGAAGCAACCTAAACCATCCAAAAGTCGATCCTGCACCCTAAACCCAAAACTATACCTTGAACAGGCTCTTTATAGTGATTTGAAGGCCTGATCGCCCACCCTGGTTCGTAACCCCACGTAGCTACCCTGTCATCCGGTGTGTAGGGCCTTGGAGGGATAAGGGTTTAGGGGTTAGGGTGTAGAGTTGTCTGCCGGCTGTCGGCACCCTAGGGCGCACGATTTCTAGAGGGTGTTGCTGCCTGTAGAGTTTCAGGGGTCTTGGTGCGGCCCTCTCATGCATCCAAACCCGCCAAAAGTCCAACCCTAAACTTGAACATCGTAAGGGTTCATGGGCTTCCCATCCCTTAAACCCTAGACCCCTAAACCCTGAACCCCTCATGCCCTAAAGCCCCAAACCCTCAACCCTCAGCCCTCAACCCTAAACCCCAAACCCCAAACCCTAAACCCTAAACCCTAAACCCTACACCCTCATCCCCTCAGTCCCTCGGGGTTCCTACCCTAAACCTTCCCATCGCTTTGAAGATCTCCGTCCTGGCTTCCTTGGGAATGAGCTCAAGCTCACCTTGGGTTCGGGGGCGGGGGCCGTTTGGGTTTAGGGTTTAGGGTTTAGGGTTTAGGGTTTAGGGTTTAAGGTTTAGGGCTTAGGGTTTAGGGTTTAGGGTTTCGGGTTTCGGGTTTAGGGTTTCGGGTTTAGGGTTAGGGGGTGGGGGCCAGGAGGGGGGTTAGGCATTATGGGCTTAGGTCTTGGCAAAGTAGGGAAGATAAGATGGACTCGTGACTCAGAACTGGTTCAGGGAAGGGTCTAGGGTTTAGGGTTTAGGGGGTTTCGCACACTCCCAGACTTTAAAACCTAAAACCCCAAAATCCTAAACCCTCTAAGGCCTGCTTGGGAACGCCTATGCCAGCCCTAAACCCTAAACCCTGAACCCTGAACCGTGAACCCTGAACCCAAAACCTTGAGAGCAACCAGCTGACGCAGGTTTCGACACTCTTCATCGCCCTCGTCAAACCCTAGACCCCAAACCCTACACCCTAAACGCTACGATTTAGGGTCTAGGATCCGTACGGCTTAGGGTTCAGGGTTCAGGGTTTAGGGTTTATAGGGTTTATAGGGTTTATAGGGTTTACAGGGTTTATAGGGTTTATAGGGTTTATAGGGTTTATAGGGTTTATAGGGTTTATAGGGTTTATAGGGTTTATAGGGTTTATAGGGTTTATAGGGTTTATAGGGTTTATAGGGTTTAGGGGTTTAGGGGTTAGGGGTTAGGGGTTTAGGGGTGGCTGGAAGCTAAAGTCAAGGCACCCAAGAGCTGCCGCGCCTCGACCAGGCCCTCGTCCCACTGCTCCTAGCTCGAACTGTGGGCCCTAAACCCTAAACCCTAAACCCTAAACCCTAAACCCTAAACCCTACACCCTACACCCTACACCCTAAGCCCGAAAGGGACGGAAATCTTCTGACCCCCAAAGCCCTTCACCAAGGGAGAACTCCTTAAATCATGACAAGGAGCCGTGATTCAGAATGCTTTAAATCACTTTAAAACAAAGGATCCCTGACACTGTTTCAGGTCTATTTGTTCTTCGTTAAGGCTTCCGGTTGCGACATGGTTTTGGTAGACTGAAGATGGGCCCCTACAGCCTAAACCCTAAACCCTAAAACTAAAGCCTGAACCCTAAACCCGTGTCCACTTCTCGCTTCAGGGCTTAAGGCTTCGGCTTTGCTTGTGATAAGAGGGCAGAGACCCTAAACCCTAAACCCCAAACCCCAAACCCCAAACCCCAAACCCTAAACCCTAAACCCTAAACCCAGAAAAAAATCTGTCATGGAGAGCATGGACGGGCAGTGGGCAAGGCTTGGTGGTCAGGATGGTGGAGTTGATGTGATCCGGGCCTCTTTGCGTCGAGCCTTGAAAGAAGTTCTGGTGCCTGCACTGCAGGATTGGCGTAAACCCTAGACCCTAGACCCTAGACCCTAAACCCTAGACCCTAAACCCTAAACCCTAAACCCTTGCTTGACAGCAGGACTGTCACGGCAATCTTGTCATCTGTTGCTCAAGGTACAGATTGCAGTGAGGCCTTCAGCGCTTTCAGAGGCTGACTTGGCAAAAAGAGGAGGTTTTCAGGGTTCAGTAGGTATTGGGAACCACTCCTACGTCAAATCTGTAACCATAAGCTAGTATCCTTACATTCAGGATGGCGGATTTGCTATCCTCCTCAGCTGATCTTCAAGAGCACTACTGTCAACTCCCGAGCCAGCACAGCAGCAAGAGCTGAGAATGAGAAGGAAGCTTGCACCTGCTGCCTGTTCTAGAGCTGATCTCGTACAGAACTGCTGTCGCCGCCAGAGCCACCATAACCCCAAGTCGCCACAGATCCATCAGCCCGGATCGCAGCAAACGCACAGCGCGAAGCTTGCACGTGCTGTACGTTCTGGAGCTGATCATGTACGGCACTGCTGTCGCCACCACAGCCACCATCACCCCAAGTCACCACAGATCCATCAGCCCGGATAGCAGCAAAAGCACAAGCAGTAGCTTGCACCTGCTGCACGTTCTTGAGCTGATCTTGTACAGCGCTGCTGTCGCCACCATAGCCATCATGGCCCCACGTCGCCACAGATCCATCAGCCCGGATCGCAGCAAACGCCGCTTCAGAAGCTTGCACCTGCTGCACGTTCTTGAGCTGATCATGTACGGCACTGCTGTCGCCGCCAAAGCCACCATCACCCCAAGTCACCACAGATCCATCAGCCCGGATCGCAGCAAAAGCACAAGCAGTAGCTTGCACCTGCTGCACGTTCTTGAGCTGATCTTGTATGACACTGCTGCCGCCACACTGCTCAGCATGGCCCCAGGTCACCACAGATCCGTCAGCCCGGATCGCGGCAAACGCCCCGTCAGAAGCTTGCACTTGCTGCACGTCCTTGAGCTGATCTCGTACAGCACTGCTGTCGCCGCCGTCTTCAGCACCACCCCAAGTCACCACAGATCCATCAGCCCGGATCGCAGCAAAAGCACAAGCAGTAGCTTGCACCCGCTGCACGCTCTGGAGGTGATCTTGTACAGCACTGCTGTCACTGCCAAAGCCAGCACGGCCCCAAGTCACTGCAGATCCATCAGGCCGGATCGCAGCAAAAGCACAAGCAGTAGCTTGCACCTGCTGCACGTTCTTGAGCTGATCTTGTACGGCACTGCTGTCGCCACCATAGCCATCATGGCCCCACGTCACCACAGATCCATCAACCCGGATCGCAGCAAACGCCCCTGAAGAAGCTTGCACCTGCTGCACGCTCTTGAGCAAATCTTGCACGGCACTGCTGTCGCCACCAAAGCCGTCATGTCCCAGGTCACCACAAACCCGTCGGCCCTGATCGCAGCAAACGCGAAAGGAGAAGCTTGTACCTGTTGCACGTTCTGGAGATGAGCTTGTGCGGAACTGCTGTCCCCGCCACGGTCGGCATGCCCCCAGGTCACCACACATCCATCACCCAGTAGAGCAGTAAAGGCAGATGCACGGGACGCAAGGCAAACCTGTCCGACGTGCAGCGTCAGCAAGTCGTTGTCTTGTAAACGCGCTGGCGTGACTGTACCTCCGGCCAGCATATCTCCGGAGGTTGTCAGCAGCCTTCCCTTGCCAACTCTTAGGCCGCCCTGCGCCCTTTGACACAAGCTGGTCACAGACTCTTCTGGCTCCACTGCCAAAGTGATGCTTGTGCCACTCAGGAGCTGCACATGGACTGAAATCGACATGATGCCCCTCAAGTGCCTGCTGACCCGCGCCTGGATGCTCAGAAGCCTGAAGCGTTCTCTTTACACCTCTCCCCAGCATAAGAACCCTGCGAGTGACATGCATGAACATTCTTGACACCCTAAACGCTAGACCCTGAAGGCTGGACCCTAAACCCTAAACCCTAAACCCTAAACCCTAAACCCTAAGCCCTAAGCCCTAAGCCCTAAGCCCTAAGCCCTAAGCCCTAAACCCTAAACCCTAAACCGCAACAAGCGCTTCAAAAGCCACAGCTGCGGAGCCAAAACCCAGATCTTCGCTGCGAGCTGGTGGGAGCCAACGCAAGAACCAGCAAAACCATCCTTAACCATGTGCTAGTTGTCCAGTAACCTGGGGGAATTCAAGGTTAACCTTTGGGAATATACTACTAACCTAAAAAGGCTAAAGGTTACCTATATACGCTACTACTAGGTGTGGCCACATGCGCATCTCCGGAACTGTGGGAGCTTTGTGTCTTGTGATTCTCTGGGGTGTAATGTAAACCCTCAACCCTAAACCCTAAACCCTAAACCCTAAACCCTAAACCCTAAACCCTAAACCCTAAACCCGGGTTCACTTCCAACGTGGTTCTTGGGAAGGTAAATGTTAATAAACACGAGGGTGTTGGTCAAGAAGCCGTTTTATGTTACTTGGGAGGACATAGATTTTGTTGTGTTGTCTTGTCTGCACACTGTGAGAAGCATGAGTAACTGTTGAGGAGTAGTCAAAGCGAACAAAAGTAAGTCACTTGTAATGGAGTTGAACCAGGGATTGAACCAGCGATGGCTCCTGTTGCACGTGCTCGCACATATGCTGTTACTGCGACTTGCCGGGGCCTCTTGGCGGTCATTCGGAGCACCGCTGGAGGCATTTTGGCGAATTCCTATGCTGGAACTAGATGGCCATCACGATGCGCCGTGTCTGTTATCATCCAAGCATTTTTGCCGTACTATGAGGGCGTAGATCTAAACGTGTGAAAGCAATCATGTGCTGTCATGTCGTTTCAGGTCCTCGCTCGCTCGCAGCACGTACAGGACATGTACACATGTATCGAAAGTGCGCTGGTGCGTCGAGGCAGCCGCTGAGCAACAAAAACGTCAGCGCAGATACGTAATCAACCCCACCCCCCCCCCCCCACCCCCCGCCAAAAAAAATTGAACGACAGGAACGTATATCAGGGAAAGTCGTAATCAGTCTGGGGGCAAAAGGGGCGGGAGAGTCCTAGTCTTTGGATTGGACGTGATAACCCCCCCCCCCCCCCACCCCACCCCTTGCGAGCAAAGATTGCACAGGACAGCCGACAGCACGTCAAACAGTACGCACGCAGAAATGTGGCACCTGCAGCATTTTTGTGAGAGGCGACAGAAACCGTGAAAACGTGCTTGCGTTTTGCACCTGGTGCAAAACGCAAGCACGGAATAATTTTCCGCAGATACACCTCTTGGGTCCGTGGGTTCCAGCATGAGTGAAAAACCATGTAAAAACCGATGCTTTTGAAGCATTTTGGAGAACAAGCCGGGGCCCCAGCTGACAGTGTGAGCCTGCAACTGGAATCCCCACGTTGCAACTGAACCCGTCAGCTAAACCCTAAACCCCAAACCCCAAACCCTAAACCCTAAACCCTAAACCCTAAACCCTAAACCCTAAACCCTAAACCCCAAACCCTGAACCCTAAACCCTAAACCCTTAACCCTCAAGTGAGTTTAGAGTTGGCTCTTTGAGTGTTCCAGCAGTGAGCAAGATCGCAGCCGTCGCAGCACGCTCGAACCAATATCCCCGCGCGCACTTCAACCGCAAAACGACTTAAACCCTAAACCCTAAACCCTAATCCCTAAATACCGTACATACCCTAGTTACCCTAAACTCGAAGTACCTTAATTCGCCAAAACCCCGAATATCCAAAATACCCTGAACCCTAAACCCTAAACCCCAAATCCTAAACCCTAAACCCTAAACCCCAAACCCTAAACGGTTGAGATGCTAAAAGCAGTATCCGCAGATCCTCGCTATCCCGGTCCACGTCGGCAAAAGCCTAAGAATGGCGGGGCTTGCAATTCGGATACGTAGTGCTTGCGGTTGGGGTTTAGGGTTAGGGTTTAGGGTTTAGGGTTTAGGGTTTAGGGTGTAGGGTTTAGGGTTTAGGGTTTAGGGTTTAGGGTTTAGGGTTTAGGGTTTGGGTTTAGGGTTTAGGGTGTAGGGTGTAGGGTGTAGGGTGTAGGGTGTAGGGTGTAGGGTGTAGGGTTTAGGGTTTAGGGTTCTGGGTATACGTAGTGCTTGAGGCTCCAAAAGCCCTTCAAGGCTCTTGCTAGTTTATGGTTGCCCGCAACGTAGGGCTAAGGGGTGGGGGTTGGGGTCTTGGGTCTAGGGCTTGGAGAGTATGAACGCTCTTCTCCAAAAGCCCCAAAAAATGAAGCCTACACCCTGACGCAAAGCCAGTCCAAAACCCGGCACGCATTCTTAATCCAAAGGGTCCTTAGTCCTTAAGGGAGGTTTATAGGGTTTAGGGTTTAGGGTTTAGGGTTTAGGGTTTGGGATTAAGATTCTAGGGTCCTTAAGGGAGGGGGGGTTCAAAGGGGCGTTATGTAACCCAAGGTTTCCCTACTCCCTAAGGCTCCCGAAGCTTTGCCAAGGATCCCTAGGTACCTACCCCCATGAACCCTAAACCCTAAACCCTAAACCCTAAACCCTAAACCCCCCTCCCTTAAGGACCATAAGTAATCTCCTATAGGCAGTCGTACCCATGAGCTTGGAGCGGTGCTCCGTTACACCGTGACGTTAGGATCTCGGAACACGGCAACCCTAAACCCTGAACCCTGAACCCTGAACCCTAAACCCTAAACCCAGAACCCAGTGTAATACACTCCCGTAAGGGTCCATCCCCTCGGGGTGTACCTCTCTGGTATATACTTGGGCCACAAACCTACCACATAGGAACCCCCCGTAAGGCCCATATATTACACGGGTACATGAGCCCTTTATAAAAGTAACGGCACATAATTGCGGCAAGTAATGGAGCTCCATACCGAAGACCTACGTACAACCCATGGCAGCTCAGACGACTGCTTGCAAGAAGTTGGCAAGGTCCACTGCAACCCGAAGCACTAGACCTCAAACCCTCATCCCTACACTACATCCTAACCCGAAACTTGGGATGATCCCTCATTATGGGCGATTCACGCTATGAGCAACTAGTACGACAGGTCGTCCCTCCCAAAAGCACTCAAGTTTGCTCTGAGCTCTCCCTTAAACCCGAAACCTGAAACCCTAAACCCTATAATGTTGGACTCGCTTTAGTACGTAGGGGTCCCCCCCCCCCCCCCCCAAACAATTTTGGGGTTTTCGGGGATCCTGAATAGTGTGGGCTGGGGCTGGGACGGGGCTGGGGGTAGGGCGGCTAGGGGTCGAGGGTTGAGGGGAAGCCTTGAAGCTTGAGGGTCTAAGCTTTCCAGGCTTTGTAGCTCCACGGTCGCCGGGGCTCCGCATAAATGCGGACCACCGAAACAACTTGCTAAAGCGAATCAGGGCAGCTCGTGGGCTACTCCCTTGGAAAATTGTTTGGGGGCCTGTTTCGTAATGAAATTTTAAAAGGAATTTAAATAAGGCTGGACACCAAAAATTCCGGAGTTTCTTATTCAGAACTGTTTTTAGTTTTTGGCTCCCCGGCCCCCCGCCCTTCAACCCCGGCCGGCAAACATCGCATAATTGAGGACCACCCTAAACAATGGGGGGTCCCCTATAGGATTTCCGGAACATCGCATAATAGTGCCCCTTCTCAC